AAAATGACGTTTTGGAATAGCAACGGAGGCATGGGATTAGATGCGTAAGAAGTTAGTCCTACATACAAGTGCATTTTAATGACAAAAACTCGACAAACGTCTTGAAATACATCATCTGAACAATGTTTCGAGGTGTGGTAACTGTAGTATAAGCGGAATAATTGACTCCGGGCCGTTGAATTATTAGAAAAATAATGCACACTCTTGACCGCATTACCACCCCGGGTGTGCATTATTTTTCTAATAATTCAACGGCCCGTCGTCAATTATTCCTTACATAATTTCCTTTATCTAGTAAAGTTAACTATCAGATTGAAAGATGATTCTCACAAAAATGTATTTTCTGCACGCTTTTATCAAGGTAAATGTAGGTATTTTTCTAAAAAAGGTCACTTGGAAATAGGGATGCAACGATACCGCTTTTTCAAAACCGATCCGATCCGATACCAAAATTCTGAGTATTGGCCGATACCGATACCAATCCGATACCAGTGCAGTTTTTTTTTATATCAAGTAAAATTTCTATAACTCTATGTTTATAAGTTCAACACACAATCTACTTAATACAGACAACTTAATTTTAAAGAAAAACAACAAATCCAAAAAATATATGATCATAATCTGTGACAAAAATGCTATTATAGACTAGATTAGTGGATAATTCAGCAGTAAAATTTAGTCTAGAAAAATCACGAGTGCACAATAATTGTATAAAATCTGAACATTTAGTGAAAAAAAATTAGGGGAACAAATAAGAGACAATAAGTGTAACACTAAATCTGGTCAAACGTTACAAATTGCTCTTTGTATTGTTGTCAAATACATTCATGAAAAACAAGATAACAAAAATCAAAAAGATAAATTATTATATATAGCCTATATAGGCTACTATAAAATTGAGACATGTTTTAAATGTATAGCACTGCTGTTTAATGAGGCAGCAACATATGATAGATAGGACAGAACAAGAAAGGCTATTAATAATCTTTCATTGCGCAAAAGTAGTATGATATGATTATGAAAGACTCCAATACAGTGCGGCACACAGCGCTTATGCGCATCCCGAGCGCAGAATGATGTGCTTGAAGCAACACGGAGTCACAGCGCGTCGAGTCCGCATTGAAAAGTTCAAAGCACAAAGGAAAGACATATCGATGCGTAGTGTATTATACACAGTATCTATCTATGCAATCGTTTATTGAGCCTTTTCTTTTAATAGTTTTACATTTCAGTTACTGTGCGCGTGAAGAACTATATAGTGCTCTGACTCTACTCTAGTGTTGCGATCTAACAGACGCCCAGTAGAAAGTAACATGATTTAGTTACAGCAATACAGTCCTGCAATATAAAGTTGTTTTATGCGAAACCATAGACCTTTTATCTACAGATCAAGTATAATAATAGTAGCATTGAATCATCTTGTTGAGAGTTTCCTCGTGTTGACTCTTGTACCCGAACGCGACGCGCTGTTTGATGCTGAATGGAGAATGACTGACAGCCGCAGCGGAGGGAAAAAGTTTACGTGATCTTGAATTTAATGACTTAAAATATTAATTTATATCTCACATTATACTATATAATGGCTTTAGAACACTTAGAAGATAGTGCACGAAAACTTTATGGTGCTTTATAATGTTTTTGTGCCTTTTGTGGGGCTTAACAATAACACAGAATAATATGCACAATATCGGATTTGGATCGGCCTCGTCTGACCGATACCCGATCCGGCAAAAATGGCAGTATCGGAGCCGATACCGATACTGAGTATCGGATCGATGCATCTCTACTTGGAAACTCCAAAAGGACACTTAATAACCAAATGATATAAGGAGTCCATATAATTAATACATTTATGCACACCAAAAAATTTATAAATTCAGAATTCAGTGTACAGTATGTATACAGTGCAACAGCAATGAGCTTGTTTACGTTTTAGACATGTCAAGTTGCGATTCTGAACAGGACCCACATGGAGATGCCAAAAAAAATTTAAATAAACGACCAACCACCTAAAACTAAACCAACCGCATTGAGCTGACTGCATTATATGGCTACAATAGTACACAAATCAAATACTAATCACAGCAACATACATACACATGCCAGATAAAAACGTTATCCTGAATGTGTGTGGAAACAACGTGAATGTACTGAAATGTGTCATGAATACAATATGTGCGATTAGTGCGTAGAGAGCAAACATACATGGTTTGTTTGCGCATCAATAATAACAGACTCAGGCCTGCATACTGTACGACTCCTGAACGTCACTGCATTCGGCTTTACCTTGATTAAAATTTGCATCGATCAAAACTTTATTTGCGAGAAGTTGGTTTGCTTTATCCAGCCGAGAAATATATATATTCATTCATTCTTTATATACAGCATACACATAGATATGTTTCTTTTTCTGTCTCCTTAAAAAAGCTTCAGTGTCGTTTTAAAAAGTACTTTTTTGTTCTTAGCTTGTACTGTAGCTTGCCCTAAAAAAGTTAACTTGAGTATCTTGACTGCAATTTATGTATCTTTATGTATTAGTATCTTTTAGCTTGACAAGCTAGAGTCAAAATAGCTCCGCCAACACTGCACATTCATACACATTTCCATTTAAGTTTGACATGAACTTCTAAAATGACAGCTTCATCTGGTGACATTTAAATAATGCAACCAATGCTAATCTTAATTAGCATAGCACATGTTTTTAACTACTGCTGACTGTTTAGAAACTTAAAATAAACCCTTTAGCAGTACGCTTACGTAACGTGTATGTCTCTTAGCCCACGGAAACAAGTTACAAGTTATTACACTGGAGAAAACCTGTCATTTATGAAACTTGTACACCTTCAGGCATGGGCTCTGTTCCAAAACATAGGGAGCTGTTGCAGTGACACTCTAATACGCACAAATATACATAGAACATAAAAAAAAATTACATAAAACTCTTTACATTTATTTAGATGACCGAACTTTTTTAGCAATACTTTCGATATTGAATTATTTATGGGTATTTTTGGCAACAAAAAAAAAGTCGTGGCCTACTGGGAGTTGGACTTGAAGCCCGAAGGTCGCGGGTTCGAGTCTCAGTACCGGCAGGAAATGCAGGTGGAGGACCCACTGCTCCGGGTGTGTGATCATTTTGATGAAGACTTCATATCAAGTAAATATATCTGAATTTAAGAATGTATAGATAGTTGTACTGGAAAGCAAGCCAAAAATACGGAGTCAGAATTTATTTATTTTTCAGTGCAGAAACAGACTTCATCCCTAAAAATGCTCACAAGGTTTTTGGAAAGGAGCCAAGGTAGTCTTGAAACAGGGTTATTATTGGTATAACAGTAAACATTAAACTTTTGTAAGGAACAATGGCATCTTGGCCTGAAGCTCTGATGTCCAGCCGGAGTGGGATGATACGCTTCCCCTTCAGTCAGTTCCTCTCTTTTCTGCTACAGAACAGCATGTAATCAAGTGGCTTTTAGTATATTTAATGTAAGGACATAACGGCACGTTCTCAAGATGATAATCTCCTCAAACTCTCAGCATGAGCACGACATCATGAATGTTTCATTTCCGTATTACTGGGACTCTTTTCAGATCATCTCTGAATGCTCACACAGATATGAAAATCAGTAAAGTCTGCTGCACCTCGAAGGAAGAAAATAAAAGACCATTTCTCAATAAGGATAGCACATTTCCAGAAATTGATTACTTTCTACGCACACCAGTGATTTAATCTTGCAATTCTGTCAAACAGGCACAAAGAACGTGATGTTTTGTCTCCTTTTCAGCTTTTCGTCACTTTCCGAATCCGGCAGGATCAGACCTGCTCTGAAACTCTTCTGGCCACAGAAGATCCAAACACAAGCTCCAGCTTAAACACCAAGGATGAAGTATTCCTTCAGCACACATTCAGATGAGGCATTGGTTTACATTTCATTCTCTTATTCTGGGACTGAGAGCTGGTTATACACATATTTGAGGGCTGCTCAATCTTTGATGTCAACATTCCTGTAAATTTAGTTTCAAATGTAATCAAACACAGATGAATCAGCCAATTCAAACTACTCTTCAAACTACTGTTTTTTTTTAAGAAAGTCTTATTCTCATCAAGGCTGTATTTATTTGATAAAAAATACAGTAAAAATGAAATATTGTGAAATATTACAATTTAAAATCTGTTTTCCACTTAAAATTGTTTTAAAATGTAAGTTATTCCTGTGATCAAAGCTGAATTTTCAGCATAATTACATTACATTACAGAAATCATAAATGCCCATGAGTCAGTCTAGTATGGCCTTTACGACATCTTTTATACCCAACCCAACTTGGTCATATCTGGATTTAAAAGTGTAGATGCAAATTTCTCTCACCACAAGATTTATCTCAAATAACTTATTATTTGTTATTATGAGATTATGACATTCTACCCATTCTGCTTGCCATTTATATAATATATACTGGTTGATAATTTGGGGATCAATAAACATTTCTTATTACTATCAATGTTGAAAATGGCAATCAATGTTGATTAATATTTCTGTCGAAGGTTTTTCAGGATTGTTTGATGAATAAAAATTCAAAAGAACAGCATTTATTTGAAATAGAATTATTTTGTAACATTATAAATGCCTTTACTGTCACTTTTGATCAATTTAATTCATACATATATATACACACACACACACTGACCCCAAACTTTTGCGGAATTGTACTTCTCCACTATAGGATGCCTGAAATACTCTGAACGCACGCAGTAAACAAATAAAACATGGAAGACCGACTGTGGTAAAACTATATTAGTTAAATTGGGTGGTTCCAAATTCCTATGCACCCCATTTGATGAAAAACTTCTCTATCGTGGGACATTATGCAGGAAAACGGATCTCCAGGATCAATACCGAGCAGCTCTAGCATATTTATACAGTACATGGCCACCAATGAACAGCGTGATTAACATCACTAACCAGGGTTGATGTAGACATGAGCCAGCTCTGGTTTCCTACCTGGACTCTGCTGCTGGGATCCTTTTTAATCCATTTGATGACCGTCTCATAGACCAGCTCCTCAGCTTTTGTGTTCAGGCTGTCGTTGGACATGTAACTAACCAGGTCTTCTTTGGAAATGTTCAGGATTTCATCTTGACCGGCCACATCGGGGAAGTTCTGCAGGGCGAAGGCCTTTGCCATGTTGTGGAGCTCATTGCACTGCATCGCCTCAGCCATGGCCAACACTCCCAGACAGTTACTGGCCGTCAGCTGTTTCTCTGCGAGAGGAACACACACACACACACACGCATGAGCAGGGAAACAAACCCTGAACGCATTAACAGTGAGAGGTGTTGGAAGATTACATTTATCCAAGTGTGTTGCTGCGAGTATAATATCGCAAGCAGCTAGTGGGAAAAACACCTAAGCATGGGAATCGATTGGACAGGAGGACAGGAGGCTCACCGGGGACTTTGACAAGCCCAGACAGACACATACCTTTTTTACCGCATGAAAGGTCAACCAAACCACTATTAAACCTGCTCATTCTTCATAATGCACAACTAAAACAGCAGTTTGGGCTTAAACCTGTATATTAATCATTTGATTTCCATTATGTGATGCATTGATTGTAAATTTGATCACCCATTCAAGTCAGGGTCGTCAAATACAGTGGAAAAAACGTCACTTCGTCCATTTGCTTCAATTATTTACAAGAGTGATAGCCACATTCTACAACCAAATTCAGTCCTAAAAATCACTAATGACTAATAACACCTATGTATTCTCGTTTAGACAGGCATACTAATAAATAAATAAATAAAAATAACAAGCAGAGCAACATTTTAAATAAATATCAAGTAGGCATAATAATAAATACAATAAAATAAATATAATATATAAATAAATAAATAATACATTTAAATATATATTCTAGAAATAATGTAAAACAAATGCTATAAATAAATATTTGTATTATGATATAAGATTACATATTAAACTTTCTATAGGTGGCATTTCAAACACTAATTTTTAATATCAAGTAATGTTTCTGTAAATATGTCATATGTTGTATGACATGTTTATGGGTAATTCACGCTTAAAAGTGACATTTTTATAAAAAAAATTACAAATAAAAATCACAGGATTCTATTTTAATTTTGTTTTGTACAATAATTTTGACTAATAATAATTTACAAGAGTTTAGTGATGCTGTGTGCATTTAATTTGCTGTGTGCAATCTTTCATTACTTGATATTATTGCTGCAACCAGAATTACAATTAATTAAACCGCATCAATTATTTGCAAGATTTTATAAAGGCTGCATTATCTACAACAGTAAATAACTGTTGGCTTTAATTGGGTGAAATTGCAGGTGTGAGCATTATTCTTGCTGTGTTAAATCAGGCGAGCTCTGGATAAAGGCGTAAAGAAAACACACGTCTCTTCAAAGCACTTAAAACACAGTTAAGTATAATGAAAGCACACTAGGTTATAAAACCATACATGGCTTTGATTTCTATCACCAAATACTTCAATGCACCATCTTGATTATAAGAACTCAGAACTCTTTCCGGCTGATGAAATCTTGACTACCCGCAAGATGAATCTTCTTTGGCGAGCGTTCATTTTTCATACGCATTCAAGTGTCATGTCGCTTATCTGAAGCAGTCACGCTAACAAGAAGTTTTAAAGTCAGTCTTGCACATTTCGATTTTTCTTCTATAACTTTTTTGTATACTGAAGTAGATGGAGCACTCCAGCAAATCCCACCAGGAGAGAATGTCATTTCATAGCCGTTGAGGTGCTGATAGATTAATAAGCTCCAGATCCCAGGGGTTCATGGGAAGAGAAGTACAAACCAGAGCTGTCAAAGCTGCCGACATTGACTTTCTGATTCCAAAGCTAAACTCATTATTCACATTCCTCACACCTGCCTTATCAACACGAATCTAAAAAGGGCATAATTCATGAGTGTTAAAAAGCAGTTCGATAACTCAACAAAGTTTAGTGCCGTCAAATATAGTGAAAAAAACGTCACTTCGCCAATAGTTCAAAGTTCGGTACAACTATTTACACGAGTGACAACCACACTCTACAACCAAATTCACTCCTGAAAATCACAAATGACTAAAAATGCCTATTTATTAGCTTTTACACAGACAAAATAAATAAATAAATGAAGCCAAGTGAAAAAACAATACCAAATGAAAAAATATAAATATTTTATAAATGCATATATACGCATAATAATAAATATAAAACAAATAATAAATGTATAAATAAATGGTAAACAACTGTGTTATACATAAATATTTGTATAAATCATTTTAACTTAATTTAAATTAAAACTACAAAAATAAACTACACTAAAAACATGAATTTATATGCAAATCGTTCTATTTCAATTCTGCTTTGTACAATAATTATCATAAATTTTGACTAATAATGGCTATTTATTCTTTATACAGGCATAAAATAAATACATAAGCAAATACATAAACAGTTCATTGGAAAAATGTAATACAAATTATTTATACAAATAAATATTATATTCATATATATAATTTCTTATAAATAAATGTTGTAAATACATATCTGTAAGTTATTAAATATAACTTTATAGGTGGCATTTCAAACACTGATTTTTAATATTAATGAATGTTTCTCTAAATATGTCATACGTTGCATGACAACATGTTTACAGGTCATTCAGTGACATTTTTATTAAAACTACAAACAGAAACTACACTTTTAGCATGAATTCATTAGAATGTTAATCAATTTAATTTGTACTTAAGATCAAATTCAAACTCGAATCCTGCATTCTGCTTGCATCTCAATGCAACTTCTGAAACTCAATAGACTCCACTGCATTCCTCAATTCAGTTGTGAATGGTGCAGATCACCGGCCACAGCCACCCGACAGGATCGACATGCTGAAATATGTATGGATTGTCTCCTCGGAGTCTGGCTTGTAGTGTAATATCTGACTAAAATATCACGAAAAGTATTCTGATTACTAGATATTAGTGTATATCATTGTCAAGACATCTGATCGCAAGCAGCGTGCAAGCCATTACGAGTGCTGTAATGAGCAACAGTATTTCTGATTCACTTCAGTCCACAGTAGAGTGTGTGTGTGTGTGTGTGTGTGTGTGTGTGTGTGTGTGTGTGTGTGTGTGTGTGTGTGTGTGTGTGTGTGTGTGTGTGTGTGTGTGTGTGTGTGTGTGTGTGTGTGTGTGTGTGTGTGTGTGTGTGTGTGTGTGTGTGTGTGTGTGTTCATCTGTCAATCAACATAACACAAGCCTCCAGCTCTGAGGGGGGAAACAGAATCCAAAAAGAGAATGTGAGACATGAATGGAATGAATAATGAGCATATTCCCTCACGGCTTCACCATGAAGTTACAGTAAATTACTCAAAGATTTTAGAGTACCTACAAAAACAAACTCATTAGAAAGCCTATTATCATAATTTGTCCATGAGAGATTGAAAACTACAATCATGTTCTGCATTTATTGCAGCCTTTATTTCCTCAGGTCCTCTTTCAATGTTAGACAAGGTTACTTGCACCAAAAACAGTCGTGATTTTTTTTTCTCATGACTATATTTCTCCATCTCACTGACCGGACGTGATGCGACATGTTTCTCTGAACAAAAACCGGTACATATTCGGATCCGGCTGTTGTATGAAATACATGCAATTTACTGTTCATTCAAACAGCAACGAATTAGTGGTAACACTTTACAATAAGGTTCATTAGTTAGTTAACATTAGTTAACTACATTAATTAACATGAACTAATAATGAACTGCACGTATACATCATTTATGAATCTTTGTTAATGTTAATTTCAACATTTACTAATACTTTATTAAAACGTATTAATTAATAATAATTATATAATAATAAAATGCCCTATTAATGCACTGTGGACCTAACCCTAACATGAACTAACAATGAACAGCTGTATTTTTATTAACTAACATTAAAAAAGATTAACAAATACAGTAACAAATGTATTGCTCATGGTTAGTTCGTTAATACATGAACTAATGTTAACTAATGAACCTTATTGTAAAGTGTTACCAAATTAGTTGCTTTAGGAACACAGCTTTGGTGAAATGGAAACATCTAGGGAAACATTTCTTACCGAGGAAGGAGACACAGACTTTGCAGAAAGTGTTGAACTGGAACTTGTTGGCCGCCTCCAGTAAGGTCTTGGCGTTGGCCGAGTCGATAATGAGGGAACCGGTATAAACAAACTCCAGGAGAAGCTCCAGAACGTCTGAACTGATGTTGCTCATCGTCAGCTGCATCTTCTCACCGTTTCTGTTCTCGCCCGATAACCTGGACACAGATTGAAGAGCGTTAAACCAGAGACCTGCAGGTTGGGTCTCAACTGCAACTACCAGTAGAGAAGGTAAAACCATATATATGTATTAAGTGTACAACAACAACAACTTTTGGTCTGTTCCAAAACTTGACTTCTGAGCTACTTAAAATAAACATTATTATTAGAAAAAAAATGAAAATTAGAAATGTTGAAATACTAAAATTTAATAAAATAAAAAAGGAAACACTTTACAATACAGTTTCATTAGTTAACAGTAGTTAACTACGGTACTTTAGTTAACATGAACTAAGAATGAACAATACTTCTGCTGAATTTATTAATCTTAGTTAATGTTAATTTCATCATTAACTTATGCATGATTAAAATCAAAAGTTGTATTTGTTAACATTAGTTAATGCACTGTGAATTAACATGAACTCACAATGAATGACTGTATTTTTACTAACTATCATGAACAAAGATAATAAATACTGTAGCAAATGTATTGCTCATTGTTCGCTCGTGTTAGTTAATACATTAACAAATGAGACCTTATTGTAAAGTTTTTTCCCCCAAAAAAAGACTTTTGTATGGACTACTTGTATGGTGTTTCTTATTGTCCATTTAGGAGCTTGTCATGGTCACTGCTACATCATTTCAGAAAAAATTCTACAATAATTTTACACTGTAAAAATACAAAATGACATGAGGTACAATAAATAATGGTTTGCTTTTGAGGGAACTATTCCTTTAAGAAACAATTAAAAACCTATCAAGCATTGCAAAGTGGGATGGACTCATTTGGAAGAGCATCCACTGAAGCTGTTCAGCGAGTGTGACTCAAAGTCAGGCCTGTGAGTCTCTCTACAGCGGCGCTTCAGGGAAAATTTGAGTGAGCTGCTATGCATTTCCATGCATAATACATATTTAAAGGCATATGGGGAGTGCAGATTGTCTGGCTCCTGAGATGAGCTGCACTCCGTCTAGAAGAGGGGCATTGGCTTAGCGTATCTGCACAGGGCTGATTGACTTTGTTTTTTTCCATTGTTTGGGTGCAAGTTATAGACGCTAAACCTCAATTATTAGGGATGCTGCAAAAAGACATGAGAGGTGTCTCGAGAAACAAAAGCTCATAATGACGTTCCATTAATGGACGGCGGGTGGTTAGACATGGCAGTGAGGTGAAAATAATAATAATAATAACATCCTCTCTTCTGCCTCAGCTATAGTTCCTATTCTATTTGAACACATGCTTTAAAGGTGAAGTGTGTCCTTTCTAAAAGTCACTATCAGCATCAAACTGTACAAGTTTTACATTGCGGCAAGACAATGTGAAGGGTTTTTGCCCGTATTTCAGACAAACACTTTTCACTGATGGATAAAATCAAGTGTTATCACATTTTTAAAGTAAAAATGGGGTTTAAATGCACTTTCATGTTGCACAAAAACTGAGAAAGAATCAAGTATTTTAGCATCAAAAATTGTACACTTCCTCTTTAACCATATCATAGCATGTGATTTAGTGAGCCTTTATGAAGACACTTGAAGTCTAGGTATATTTAGAACCTATGCAAAGACAAATACATGCTACATATGACAGACAGACAGACAGTGATGTAAGCAGGGAAGGAAAGGAAGGGGTAGAAAATCAGTTCTGCCACAGGGAACCAGCAGCCATCCTACAGGGAAAGGGACCATTCCATGACTGGGACGTGGATTTACTTTCAAATACCTGCCAAAACAGAGTTCAACACGGCCTGCGTACGAACGGTGATATTAGACGTTATAAGAGGTTTGACTTGGAGGGAGGCAAAAGGCAGAGTATGAGGTAAGGTGGGTGTCTCTGGCGCTGGCTGAAAAATCAAGAAATGTTACTCCTGAAAAGAAAAACAAAAATGCAAAGTTTATTGCTGTCAGGTGTAAGTGGAGGAGGAGAAATATTAAGAAACAAAAGGCAAAAAAAAGTAGTCAACCATTAAGAGGTGGGAAAGAAAAAAGAAAATAGAAAATCAGCCCTCTCTCTTTCCCTGAGATCAATTAGAGAAATCTAAATCCACACTCCCACTCGCACTATTTCCATAAACCGTTCCGCTCAGAAAAGAGCTTTTTGGCCATAATTTTATTCTCAAGTATGAACGTCTGCCCTGAAAAAAAAAGATCTATATGGTTATCAAAATCGTTCTTTTCATCCACGGTCTATGACTGTTATATTGATTAGACTGTGAAAATACAGTATGGCACTCAAAGTGGGAAAAAAGCCTAATATGTGCATGATTATGCTGGTTTCTAAAACGCTGTCTTTAGGATATATTCTCGGGCAGCGTGGCATGCCATATCATTTGTAGAGATACCAGAATGCATTGAGATAAGCTCAGTGGAAAAAAAATATATCTATATTTTATTAAAAATAGATACATTTTATAAATATTTTATAAATAAATAATACACAAATGCATAAACAAAGAAATGAAAATGAAAATAAATGACAGCATAAAAAATAAATTTTTATTCTCAGAAAATAGTTTTTTGGCCATAATGTTATTCTCAAGTTTGAAACCTGCCTCCCCTGACATTTTTCATTACATGGTTATACAAATCGTTCTTTTTGTTCACGGACTACGACTATTATATTGATTAGACTGGAAAAATACAGTGATGAAAATATGGCACTCAAAGAAAGAGAGGGGTTTCTAAAATTGACATAATTTCCATGTTTCCCATTTTCCAGGAAATTTCGAGCACATTCATTTGCCTACGTCCTTGAGATAAAATAATCTATAAATGTGACTGCTTTCTTTATTTTGGAGTTCGCTGACATTACGAGCATACTGTTGGACAACATCACACCTTTTTTAGGTGGAACTACTTTTCTAGCCCTGTATAGTTTATGTATAGTTTACTTCTTGAGCTGGTCAGGACATCCAGCTGTGGATTGCAAGTTTTGAACCCATTGCTCTAAACCGCTTAAACGTACGCCTATACTGTATTCCTTCTTCCATACATGAAAAATTATAAAAGAATCAAAACAAAAGCAGCCAAGTAGATATCAAACCACTGGAACTTCAGAGTTAAGCGTACTCTTAAATGGAACAAAACAAATCAAGAGCTGCCAAACTAAAGTGGGCTCTTCAACGCCAGCTATCCGTCTCAGACTAATAACGTAGTGTCTATGCTAATATATACGTGGAAACACTCAGCAAGTGGCAAAATGATGGATGCACTGCCAGAAACAAAGCACAAATATTCAATAAAATCCATCAGTCAGGATGAATCTCTGGAGATATTGTGAAATTCATAAGAGGCGCTGCCTTCTATCAATGTGAACGAGGAAGTGCTAATGGCTAGATATTACATTCAAACGCAGATTCACTTAGTGCATGATTTGCTAAATGGATGAATCACTTTTTAATGCACATTTTCTCTGAGAACGACAAATGCAGCAGGTGTTCTTTATAGACTATTAGATAAACCCGGTTCGTTTAACTGATATAAATGACGGACACCCTGATAACGACTTCAGTCTCAGCCGGATTCGCCCATTAAAGGGCCGAGAGACATCTCTGATATTAAACTCAGATTACAGCTCAATGCATGTATCATTTTCAAAGATCAATGTTTCGTTTAGATTTGATATTCATCATATAGGGTTTTTTCTCTCTCTAAAAGTTCATAGATTAAAGACAGCTCTTCTAAAATGTAAACAAGCAAATAATCAGGCTGAAATAGTGTAAGACCACTCACATTTTTCCCACTAGAAATGCACGATAAATAAATAATGCAAGAATGTTTTAGTATGCCAAAAGCTTTACAAATCACGGCTCGCCATTGATTTTAAGTGTCAGACTGAACTTTCCAGTTGAACTCTTTGAGGTGGAACTGGATTAAGCAATCGGTTCATATGCATTATATTGCCTTAATAACTGTTGACAGGATTACATATTTTGTACTTTGTGAAAAAATAAAGAAACACAGAGCTAATGTATTTTTCAACTAAATGGCGATGCTACTGTGTGACTCTGTACATGTCTGTTCTGTAACCTAATGAGCTGCCTACAGGCATCATATGTGCATGATTATGCTGGTTTATAAAATGCCTTCTTTTGGATCTATTCCAAGGCAGAATTGTAGAATGCATTGCAACAAGCTCAGTGAAAAAAATTTATACGCATAGTAATAAATGAATAATTAAATGCATAGGCCTATGCATAAACACATTTTGTAAATGCAAAAAATAAATAAATGCATAACGAATGCATAAACGAATAAATGCATGAACGAATTAACAAATGAATAATCGTGAAGTGTTCATCATGAACCTCAAAGTCAATTATAATCAGCTATGAGTTGTGTATGAAAGTTGCATATAATTTAGAATGCTACCTTGACAGCTCACTAGGTTCTAGAACAGAAATGTTCTCGTTTCCTCTGCGTTCTTAGGAGGGCAATCTAGACATCGATGAGAGTGTTACATTCTCCATGCAAAGGCCCTAGTTTCAGTCCCTTCAGTCCCGAGCAGTGAAACTCAAATCGCTTTTGCGAGGTGTATCAGCACATTTTGGGAATCACGAGAACAAACTTCTGAGTTTTTGCTCCTAATGCCGTTTTTATTGCTTCTGCTCGTGAGATAGCTCGACTCGACCAGGACTAAATTCACAATCAAGCTGGAGTACATGTATCATGACATACAGTATATTATACAGGAATTTGAAAGCATTACAGCAATTACACAAGCCAGTCAATGCCCTGGTTCATGTGATTGTTTTTGACTGAAAAAAGGCTGATAGAGATAGATGTACAGTGCATTCAACACTCTAAAAAATGCTGGGTTGTTTTAACCCAACTTTGGGTCAAATATGGACAAACCCAGCCATTGGGTTACATTTTTTAATTTACATTTTTAACCCAACGTTTGGTTTTGTCCATATTTGACCCAAAGTTGGGTTAAAACAACCCAGCATTTTTAGAGTGAATGGTTTGTACTGTTGTGCACTTTGATTCATAAACATATTGACCATATAAAACCTACTGTATGATGTTTGATATGAACATTGCTGAAAAACATGTTGCACACAATCTACTAAATGTCTTCTGTCGTCTGAATGCTTAGACTTTTTTTAGCAAGTAGAAAGCCTGGGTGTAATTGTAAAAACGTCCCCTTTCAGCTTGTGTCTTTTTGCTGCGAAATCTTCACTGATTTTTTATTTTTATTAAGTAAATGTAATAATAACTTTTATATTGTTAGTTATATTTCAAGATGAACTTAGGTTTACTTGATTATCCATAAATAATACAATAAATTTAAATTTAAGAATCAAATATGATCCATCAGGCTTTTACAGTTTATTATTCATCTCTCAATCACCATTGTATTGTACAGCATTATATGTTTTAAAACTACAACATTTTTTTTATCATAATACTAAGCATTTAAATATAATCTTACTATAACATATTATTGGCAGATATAGTGACAACATTTGCATTTTTATGTAAGTTTATAGTGTTACAAATATCTCACTGATGTACATTACAAGCTATCAGAGATTCATCTTGCTTTTTATCAATATAAATATGAGAAACTTTTTACATTGGGAAACATTTTCCCAATCACTGTGGGATAAATGTAGATGTTATGTTCATATTTCCACAATTTTTTTCTGCTGGCTAATAAAAGTCAAGCACCAAACAAAATGTTTTAAGTTTTAAAGGTTTGATACAACCGTTCACAACAAATTTACTGCAAACTGTTTGCAAGCTCATTTGCATGTGAAAACATGAATTTGCAGTAAATGTGTAGCACAATTCTCCCCAAGAGCTTTACCAGAAGGGCTCCTGATGTAAAAAAGATTCTGAGATTGTACATTTCTTTGCCTGTAAACATGATTCTGTATCGGTTTTTACTCAAACAACATCCAGTCAGTCACACGGCTCTGGGACACCCGACTGCTGATATCAGCATCAATATGAGACGGCAAGTCGGCAAGAAACAGAATTTCCCGAAGCATAAACGAGAGATCCGTGCAGTTTGCAGTTTGGCTTAATCCCGACGGCACGCTCAAAGCGCTGTGTGAATTTCCACGCAGATACGGAGCGAGTCACAGCAGGTAAAAGGTGAAGAGGGACAACTAAAACATCCCGCCTAAGCACTTGACATAGACAGCCGGAGCGCAGCGCTGATGCCATATGCCAAACGTACTCCTAAAATCTGCCTTTCATTTGTTTTGACATTTCCAAAGCATTTCAAACGAAAACCCCCAGTCATGGAACTTCTTCGCCCATTAAAATGCTAATTGGCGCGCTTAATAAATGGAGGTGAAAGTGCCAGATTGGTCCACGCCTTGACCTTTTTCAGCAGAGAAATACATTCGTTGGTGGAACAGACAGAATGGCTACTGGCCCTGTGACAGGAACCGATGTCTTCAGACCTGCAAGAGATGGGGAGGGAAAAGGAGGCGACACAAATGCACCCTACGAAAAGAACAGAATAGATCAAGGACGGGAGGAAAGCAAACCTTTTCACCATGTCCTTGAAATACAAGCTGCAGGAAGCTAGAACATTTTGATGGACTTCAAACTCTTTGCCTTCAACAATTATTTTCAGGTCTGTAAACTCTTTCTCTCTCCGCTGCTGGTTCAATTCCTTCAACATTTCTGTAGAACAAGAGAAAGAAGAGAAACAGTGATTTTTGTATTTTCTGAGATCGAAGCACACAGCATATGATGACACAACCAATCATTGTTTGAAGAAAAACAGGAAATGATTTGTTTGTGCAAGTAAAGGGCTGGAAAAGATTTAGAGTAGAGGGATAAAACCATCAGGCATGAAGGAAAAACAACAACAAAAGTGAAAAGCAAAAGGTCAGTGCTCAGTGCTTTCATTGTGAAACAAATACTGAACTTTGTCAGTAAGATGTGCATGTCTACAACTAAAATTTCAAAGGAATATTTCAACTAAAAATGAAATCGCTGTCATCATTTCAAATATGTATGGATTTCTTTCAGTTCTTTTCAAAAATGTTATTTTTGGGTGAACTTTTCCATTCACAGACAATGGAGCGCTACAGTCAGGATCTGAAAATAAATAAATAAAAATCATTCATGTTCTCCTTAGAGAATTACATTTTCAACCGTAATGTATAAACCTGTTTAACCCTTGTGCTGCATTAGGGACATTTTTGGTCTTTTGCAGTTTAATTTCTTTGACCATTTTGGCTGTTTTAATGCAAATGGTATGTAATTTGGCAAAATTGTGACTTTTTAGATAAATGTAAAAAAAATTATCCCATTTTGCAAAATATGTATAACACACTCTGTGTAGAACAAATAGTAACACTCAGCACCATAATGGACAAAAATGTCCCATTGAAACCCATTAAAACGTCGTTTAAAGCCGGAGCCATCATTAATACACGAATCATGATTTATGTTGAAACATCCTTTCATTTTGAAGCAAAAGCATTATATTTGCATTATATAGTGTATTCCACCAGATGACGTCACTACATAGGTATTCCCTATGGGTGGAAATGCATGTTATTTTCCTGGTTTCCACTAGGGGCACTATTGACTGTGTTATGAAGCATTTTAATGGCTCAATGATCTAAAATTGTTTCTGAGTATGTGTGGATGTCTGAGAGCAATGTGTGTCTGCGTTGAAAAAAGTGTGTGTGTGTGTGTAGGGCCTAAATATAATACATGGTGTTTAGGCGAGTGACAAATCACAATATCCTGAAGGTCATATTTTACCCTTTCTGTCCTCTCTCTCTCTCTCTCTCTCTCTCTCTCTGTGTGTGTGTGTCAGTGGTGTATGATGTGTGTGTAGGCGTGTGTGTGTGCGTGTGTGTGTGTGTGTGTGCATTTAGCAAGAGAAAGCGCTTCTCACTGCATTGTTTTCTTTCGGTTTGATTCATGCGTATTTTACGCACAGACATGAACCTTTGACACAGCTTCGTTTTTTTTTAGCAGTCTATGTTTCAAAGTTAATTGATAATTTCTCACATACGTAGAGGCACAAACACAGCCATGCAGTCAGTCCTTAGACAATAATAACACCTTTCATCTTGCGGCAACACAAAGATTTAGCTGCGAGGGATCCAAAACAAAGTCTGCCTTTGTTTTGGATTAGACTAGTTGAGAAATCATACAAGTGCGGTTGATGCAAAAGTTATAAAGCTGTGCACATCTTTGGTGTGGCAATTTCAAACTGAGCAGAAAATTCAGAGGAAAGTGGGTCTGCAGACACCCATGACAAGAGGAGGAGGGGGTGCAGTTTCTGCCCTAACAAAAAAAGAAAAATCTCCACCACCTCCTCAAAATGTGGCATTTACATCTGTAAGGAGCATGCATTGCAATTCTGCAGCTCCTGCAAATGAGCTGAAGAATGATTTTGTTTTGAAGTTTTGATATGTTTTAATAATAATAATAATAATACTTCATTGCATTTTATATAGAGCTTTTCTCGGCACTCAAAGCGCTTTACATAGAAGGGGGAATCTCCTCAACCACCACCAATGTGCAGCTCCACCTGGATGATGCGACGGCAGCCATACTGCAAATTTGGCCAGGATGCCGGGGTTACACCCCTACTCCGAAAGACATCCTGGGATTTTTTGTGACCACAGACCCACACAGAGCACAAGGAGAGCACCCCCTGCTGGCCTCACTAATTTTATATTTATAGAATTAAATTGTTTATAGAAAAAATAAAAATTCATGTTCATGGTGATCTTGTAGTTTTGCTTTCTTTCTATAGCAAATTTTGATGTGTAGTGAGACAGGCACAGGTTATAATCACCTAGTAGAAATCAGGAAAATGTTTGCAGTACTACAGATGTTTGCAGTATGTCAAATATATGACAAATGGTACCAACTGGTGGAAAACAGTAAAAAGTAAATATTTTACCCCAAGGCTTGGTAATGACAGGGTATTTGAATAGAAATTATGATTTTATGATATTATGACAGTGGGTTCAAAAATGGATATTTGAATGGGTTCAAATAGGACCAAATTTGTCCTTAACGCGCTATGTGTGATTTTTTTTAAAAATCTTACATATCACAAAAAAATAAAAATGCACCAAAAATAATGTTGCTGCTAATCTTTGACATATTCAAGACTGTGATAATCCAAAGCCAAGGTTTTCACTTTGCATTTAGTATATGGAAAATAATTACATTTTTGTGTTTTTTCCTCTTATACAAATTGATGGTATCACCACCAAAACTGGTATTTAAAGGGTTAAAATCCTGAAATTAAATAAATATTTGGTAGTTATGATGAGGACTGATGCTGGTTAAAAGATTTAACTCAGTAAAAGTGGAAAATAATAATAATATATAATATTTTAGGCAATGTTTAATATGTGGCCATTTTTGTCCCTTAACGCGCTAAGAGGGATTTTTTTTTTAAATCTGACATAACACAAAATCTTTAAATGCACCAGAAATAATGTTGCCGCTAATCTTTGACATATTCAAGACTGTGATAATCCAAAGCTAAAGTTTTCTCTTTGCATTTAGTGTATGGAAAATAATTACATTTTTGTGTTTTTTCCTCTTATACAAATTGATGGTATCGCCACCAAAACTGGTATTTAAAGGGTTAAAATCCTGAAATTAAATAAATATTTGGTAGTTATGATGAGGACTGATGCTGGTTAAAAGATTTAACTTGGTAAAAGTGGAAAATAATAATAATATATAATATTTTAGGCAATGTTTAATATGTGGCCATTTTTGTCCCTTAACGCGCTAAGAGGGATTTTTTTTTTAAATCTGACATAACACAAAATCTTTAAATGCACCAGAAATAATGTTGCCGCTAATCTTTGACATATTCAAGACTGTGATAATCCAAAGCTAAAGTTTTCTCTTTGCATTTAGTGTATGGAAAATAATTACATTTTTGTGTTTTTTCCTCTTATACAAATTGATGGTATCGCCACCAAAACTGGTATTTAAAGGGTTAAAATCCTGAAATTAAATAAATATTTGGTAGTTATGATGAGGACTGATGCTGGTTAAAAGATTTAACTTGGTAAAAGTGGAAAATAATAATAATATATAATATTTTAGGCAATGTTTAATATGTGGCCATTTTTGTCCATTAATGCACTCAACGGCGTAAAAAATCTAATGCAGCACAAGGATTAAATAGAATTAACTTGAGCCCAGAGGCTACTGACTGATATGCAAAGTCAATGTTTTCATAAATAAATAAATACAAACTAAAAATCACAAAACAAACAAATAAATATTCATTAATTAAAATAAACAAATACATATAATTATGTACATTTATTTGTTTATTTATAATAATTTATAAATGAATGCATACATAAATAAACAAACTCATGTTTAACTGCTGAATTTCTAGTGAAGGACAGCACTACCTGTAATCCTAAAAAGAGACCCACCCATCAAAAAGAGAAGAAAAGGAGAACAGTGACTGTCCACTCTCAGAAAGTATTAGGAATTATGCAACCATGCACACTCAACAACATGGACATTTGTATACATTTAGAGGACAAAATTAACAACATCAAATGCATAATATTTGTACTCAATTTTGATACAATATATTACATCATTTACAATGCATCATGGAACAAGCAGTTAATTTTTTAACCTAAAAAGCATCGCATTATGTTACTTGTGTGCTCATGTAGTGATTTATCTAGAATGTGGTTGCTTTGCTTTAACAAAAGAATATTTTGAAATTCCAATGGGGAAAATAGCCAAGACCGCTGAAAAGGTGTCTATAACCAGCTGACCTAAAAAAACATCTACTAAAGCAAAACCACCTCTAAATGACAACAGACACAGTGAGGACGAGAAAACCTCTCGGTTACGACTGTAACCTTGGTTCCCTGAAGAGGGAAGGAGACGCTGCATGGATTGAAACTCTGGGAACGCACTGCCTGATTGCGTCGTGAAGCACGTGTGAAATCAGTCCTAAGGTGTAACTAGACATCAGAAGTGGCTGACGTCACAAACCAGGGGCCTCAATTATAACCATGCGTATGCACAAAACAGGCCCTGAAAGAGGCACATAAGTTGTGATTTATAAAAACAAACTTGACGGGAAAAGTTGCGCACCTGCACGCAAACTCTGACCCATGCGTACGAACGTTTTGGAGGCGGAGCAGTTTGGCGACACTGATGGTGAGTTGGAGTTAAATGTCTTTTTGGTCACTTTTAGACAGAAAATTTAAAGAAAATGATACATATACAGAAAGATAATACAAATTTAATTTCACTCACCAAGCCTATCACTTTGAAGCAAATATCCACCCCTTCTTAAATGTCCGAGCCAGCGAGCGCGTTGGGCCATTTAGTGAAACTGACGCATATGTATCTAACGGCAGATGAATCGTAAATCTTCATTATGAGTCCTAATCATAAATACAGTGCATGTTCACAATAAAAGTTTAAATAAATAAAATAATGATTTAAACTATGTTTTACTCCTGATATAAACATTTAGATTAAATATGCCATTCTCATTAATGGAGTTAAACACTTAAATTACATGAAATCATTACTGAGAAGTTACAACACTTTTTATATTCAATAAATAGAAATATTTGTAGTGGATGCGATGCTTTTGAACACTTTTCCTGTGGCATGCTGTGTTTTAATGTCTGAGAAAA